ATCTGCAAAGCCCACCCAAGCATGGGGGCCTCCGTTACATTGGCCAGACAGTTATCTCCTGCAAAATGGAGTTTCCGACAGAAGCACAGCACCCACAGGAGGAACAGAAAACCTATGAATGTCCAGGAATGTCCCCAGGGGCTGGCTGGGGGCGGGGTATCTCACCACTCCCAAAGGCCCTGAGCCCCATTCTGGAAGTCCAGACTGGGCAGGCGCAGTTCTTCAACTGAAGAAGACTGAGTGAAGATCAGCATGAGCAAAGAGATTAAGACATAAGTGAGTTCTCATCTATGGGTGACTTCGGGAGAGAGAGAGAGAAGCATCAGCTGTAAGTACTGACTCCAAGGAGTCTCCGTCCGCTAACATGAAGCTGCGCAAGAGTCCCGAGGCAGAAGACCAGCCATGGGGACAACATTGCTGCCCAGGATTTCTAGGCAAGAGAGGTCCCAAGACACCTTTGACAGCCTGCATGCCATCCCAAGATCCCAAGTTGAAGGAGTACAGCCAGAAGTCTTGGGGATGACAGACCAGACCCTAAAAGGTGTCTCTGCTTTTTGGGGATCCTCCATCCAAAGAAGAATGTCATTCATAAGAGATCCAACCTGTAGAGGGAAACGAGACAGAATTTCCAGAAAGCAGGTCCGTGGCCTGGGATAACTGTGGTGCATGTATTGTCATATCCACGAAAGTCGGGGGAGGGGGGGGGGAGGTGCTTGTCTAAAGACTTCTCAGCCAAACCAGGCATGGGAGTGCATGCCTTTAGTCCCAGCACTCCAGAGGCAGAGGCAGACAGATTTCTGAATTCAAGGTCAGCCTGGTCTACAGAGTGAGCTCCAGAACAGTCAGGGCTATATAGAGAAACCCTTCCCCCTTTTAAAACAAACAAACAAACAAAAACACTTCTGGGCCTCAAGCTAACTGCCACCTGCTAGCTACTCAAAGTAAAGCTGATTACATTTGATGGTTTCTTTGTTAAAGGCTCCGTATCTCATGATAATCTGTTATTCTTAATTTTTATTTTTTATGTGTGTGGTGGGTTTTGCATGTTTTAAATCTCAGGTGGAGCTAAGTTTAGGGGAAATAAACTCCAGTTGGCAGTTGGTCTAATGCTATGTATTTTAGTGTTAATTACTGGCTCCTGAGATCTGCCCTCTGTCTCAAGTACCTGTTCTCAAGTAAACCTTGCTCCGCCTAATCTAAAGCTGACTGGTTAATAAAAAATGCTGATCCTGGGGACTTGGCAGAAGAAAGGGAGGTGGAGTCTGGGGGTTCGCAGGCTGGGGTGGAGGGACTACCAGGGGAGAAGGAGGAGAAGACAGGATCAGAACAGATATCACTTCTTTGCCACCATCTCTGCCTCATGTCCAGAGATCTAATCTTTCTTTACAGCTCTCAGGTGAGAAGCTGCAAAGCATTTCACTGTCTCATTTCATTCTCAGACAAACCAGACACAGTGGGTTCTAGTTGTGTTCTCTCTATAAGGTGAGGGCCTGGAAGGGGATGAGGGACGTGAAAGAACTCGCTGAAGATCACTGAGCTGACATGTGACAAACAGGATTCCAGAAATCAAGATCTCTGACTCCAAATCAATGTTCTCTTTTCTTTACCACAACCCAGTAATGTTGGTTGAACGTGAGAAGAACTCAGTGGTTTGGATTCCCAGAACCCACATAAAAGAGGAGTAGATGTGACAGTCTATTTGTAATCCTAGATAGGAAATCCCCAGGGCTAGCTGGCTAGTTAGACAAGCCAGATGGGTGAGCTCCAGGTTTGGGGAGAGACCCTGACCCAGCATATAAGACGTAAAGTGATGGGGGAAGACGCTTGATGTCAGCTTCAGATATCCACTTGAATACCCATGTACTCTCACTCACACTGTGCCCATTCACATGAACAGGCATAAACGCATGACACACATAATCAAAAAAGAACATAAATAAGTGCATTAAATATATGTAGGAAAATAAGAACTAACAAAAAGAGAATAGCAGAAGAGATGTCAGAATAGCAAAGGTCAGCTGTGTGTGTACAATTTGTTACATGCAGAAATTTGAGCTTGATATGTACTAATGGGTAGTAGTATGTACAGGCCCTCAGAATCAGCTCTTCTGTACACACGTGTGCTGTCTCTTTGGACTTATGGAGAAGCCTAGGCACTGGACCAGGCTGAGTGTGCCTCCGACCTGAGCCACTTAGGCTGTGTACGACCCTGACGGGTGGCATAGCCCCTGGACCTCAGTGCTCTTCTGTAAAGGACAATTCCTGCTGCCTGAAAGATGATGATTGAATAACAATGTCTACAGTGCCTCAATCAGGGACAGCACAGTGATAAAAGTGCTGGTGCTCATTCCTGTACCATGAACGGTGGCAGTCTCCTGATATAACAGAAAGTGCATGAACCTGTCCACGTTTAACTAGCTCAATGCTAGGGAAGATGTCTGAGATACCTTTTGACGTCTCAGCATGCCCAGGGCTGGTGCTGTGGCTCAGCTGGCACAGTGCTTGCCAGGCATGCAGGAAGCCCTGGGTTCAAGCCCAGCAATGCTTGAACTAGGCATGGTGGTATACACCTGCAACCCAGCGCTCAGGAGAGGGAGGAGGAAGCTGTGCTGGAAATGGAGAAGACTCAGGTGACTTAACTGCACTGACAAAGGGCAGGAGATAACAGGAGAGCAGACAAATTGAAGGGATAAATATAAAGAGCTCTACATAGCTCTCCAAGCAGAGTTAAGGACTGCTACACAGCCTAGTGATTGTATACCAGCCCAGCACACACGAGACTGTGGATTCATTTCCCAACACTGAAAATAAATTAAAACATAAATTTCAATCACTATACTGCTGTACTATCAAAAATACCAAGGGGAAAACTACTTTAACTTGATATGGAATGCTTTCCCAAAATAGAGTCTGATTTATGCCATCAATTAATTCTCAGCAGAGGAGCCAAGATAGAGAATCCAGCAGAGAAACATCTGACAGGGGGTTAATATCTAGAACCTCTAAAGAACTACAAAAACATACACTAAAACCCATTAGCCAGTAAGTGGGCTAATGGATTGAACGGATAGCCCTCAAAGAGAGAGAAATACAGATAAAGGATTTGAAATAATGTTCGAAATCCTTCATCATCGGGGAAATACAAACTATAAAATTGCCTTGAGATTCCAACTCCCCCATCAGAACGGCCACCATCAAGAAAACAAACGCCAGCAAGGATGTGGGGACGTATGTGTGTAGCCAGTGCCACCTTCAGTTCTGTCCCTAAGTAGCCATGAGGCTGCAGGCAAATCAGAGCCTGAGTGTGAATTCCCATCACATGCCTAAACCTAAGGGCAGTCACACAATCTGCCCCCTTGTGGCATGGAGATAGAGCAATTAGGTTCGAATGAGAGGGGGGACGCTTCCGACAAGAGAGAAGTGTAATACTGCTTATGAAGGGGACAAAGAGGGGTGATGGGGAGTGGAAGGGTTTGAGCATATTGCTCAGAGTGTGGGCCTCAGACATGGGGCACCTGGGGGAAACGCAAGCTCCAGCCCTCCCCCACCCCCCTTCTCACAAATTAGGTTCTAAACAACACCTAGAAACGTCAGGTAATTAAAGGTGTTACTAAAGGTAACACAGCTTGGGATAACATGGGACGCTGTGATCCGACACGGGAATAAGGCCTTGTTCTCCTATACGGGTGAAATCGCGACTAGAGGAAGGGCGTTGGCACACTCTGTCCCTGTCTCTCTGTTTCCCGTAAATGTCACAAGAAGCTCCGTCTGTGAGAGTTCAGGGAGATATTAGTGCCACCGTGCTGGCTTACTTCTTTCCACGTGCAGTTGAATCAAAGGTTATAAAGACACGAACAATTTGTACACTATGTTGGTCTCCTTCTTCATGATTGAACTTTGCCCTGAATCATTGCCTCCTAAGACATTACGCTGGCGTGTGCCACAGCCCCTAACCGGTGAGACCCCTCGGAGATTCGTAAGAAGCTATCCTTTTCCGGCCCTAAGCCACAGTTCTCCAGCTTTGGGGGGACTGTTGGGAAGTACCACGATTTAGGTAGGTGTCTCTCCACCCCAGTACATGTGTGTCCAAGGCATAGTACTCAGTCTGTGGCACTACTGGGAGGTGGGCCTAGTGAGGCTCCAGTTTAAGGGCAGTCACAGGCCTTGTGAATCACTTGGCTGCAGAAACTTCTCCACACCATGTACATACTCATCTCATATGCAGGCGTGGATTCTGCAGGTCACCTCTGATTTCTCAGGGGCTTGCTTCTACATGGCCGTGTCGTGTTGCCTTTGCTGCAACAGAATGCCCGACAGAAGCACTTTAGGGAATTATCTATTTTGCTTCACAGCTTCAGTCCTTCCTGGTAAGGATGGCATTAGGTAAGACAGTGTACTCTGTGGCAGCAGGAGGCCGTGGCACATGTTCATTTCACATCATGGCTGACCAAGAGGAAGAGTGAAGCAAGAAGTAGGAGCCAGGTAGAACCTTAAAAGGCCTGCCTCTAGTAACCTGTTTCCTCCAGCTGCCCCAAATAACGTCAACAGCCAGGGAACAAGCATTCAAAACACGAACTGGCTGAGGACACTTCAGATTCAAACCCTAACAATGGCCACACATATAATCTGCTAGGGACAAGGTCTCATTCT